GGCTCCTATCCAGACTGGAGTAGCAACTACTACCGGGTTAAGCTGACACTGGACTCAGACGAGGAGGCAGCAGTGGAGGAAGCAAAGGCTTACCTGGCTGCTCACCTACCCCCTGGAGCCCTGGTGCCATTTGTGCCCAATGCAGTGGAGCAGGCTGGGGAGGCTGTGTACAAGCTAGCCCAGTCAGGTAGGAAGAAGGCTGCTGGAGGAAGGGAAGTGGGCATTGCCTTCCTTTGGCCATCTCCTGTCTCTGGCTGCAGTTTTTTTTTATTTGTCCTAGGAATGGGGACAGTGTCCAGTAGATCTTGTGATAAGAAATACGGTTGCTATCTCTAGTTTTCCCTTCCATCCAAACAGTGCTAGTGGGCAGGTGGTGCGACCTCCACTCTGCTTTTGGACACTGCCTCTGGTTTCTCAGAAGGCAGCTGCTTGTCAGGGAAAACTATAGAGGAAATGCATGCTTTCCAAGAGAAGGGCTAGACTAGAGATGACCTTTTTAGTTTTCTTTCAGCTCTCAGATTCTGTATATTATACAGTACCCAGAGGATTGACTTGGTCCTAGCTCCTGGGATGGGACCAAATTGAAGGGGTGTTAAACTGTAGAGACGCTGGGAAAGTCCTGAGCAATCATCTCACAGTCCCCTCTGATTGTTCGTACGTGTATCTCCCCCATGCTCCCAATATCCCTGGCAGGGACTCCTCTGGGGAAGAAGGTAGCAGGGGCCTTGAAGATAATCGAGGAGGCCCTGTCGAGGTACAGCCTGACCCAGCTCTGTGTGGGCTTCAACGGGGGAAAGGACTGCACTGCCCTCCTGCACCTCTTCCACGCTGCTGTACAGAGGTACCGCGAGCCCTGGGACGGGCAATAGCTGACAGGCCCTCCCAGAGATGCATGCTTCCCCAGACAGCTGCTTGCCATCAGTGGCCCCCCATCCCTCCTTCCTGGATCCATTCACCCTGTTTCTTCATCTTGGGTGTGTGTCAGTGTTGAGGAGGAAGGCTGTTCATATCAGTTCAATAAGAATTTGTATGTAGGGTGTCTTCCATGTCTGTGCAAGGCCCTGTGCAAGACACTAGGGAAGATACCTAAGGTTCATTAGACACAGGCCCTCCCCTCATGGAGCTTATAGTCTTGTTGGCGTGACACCATTGGAATACATGACAGCCAAAGAACAGTAAAACACATTCACGAATCAAGTGTTGGAAAATGTTCTATGGAAGATAAATGTTTAACAAGTTGGGGAAAATCAGGCTAGGGCTGGCTTCCTGGAGGAAGAAAATCTTAAGCTGGGCCTTGAGAAATGGGTGTGCAGGGTTTGGATATAAGAAGACAAAGGAGGGTATTCCAGAATGGGGTGGGGGAGAGGACAGTGCACACCGTTTTAGGGGGCTCTCTCTACACAAATGGAGGAACCTGTGGGCCCTGACCCCTCTCACCACCTACCCAAAGGAAATTCCCAGAGCCCAGGGTCCCGCTGAAGATTCTCTACATCCGTAGCATCTCTCCCTTCCCAGAGCTGGAGCAGTTTCTGAAGGAGACAGCCAAGAGGTACTGGGGATCAGGAATTTCGGGCTGGGAGAGCTGAGGGTTATGGGAGTTAGGAGTGGGGAATTGCTTGATTATAGGTTCAAAAGGTGGTTTATGGGCCTCTCCAGGTATAAGCTGCAAGTCTTACAGGCTGAGGGCGACATGAAGCAGGCATTGAGTGAACTTAGGGCACAGAACCCCCAGCTGGAGGCTGTGTTGATGGGCACAAGGAGAACGGATCCTTCATCCCGAAGCCTCAGTCCCCTCAGTCCCACTGACCCAGATTGGCCCCAGTATATGCGCATCAACCCACTACTGGTGAGAGAGAAAACATTCCCAACTACCCCTCAGACTCCCATCTTTTTGTCATATAGAATGAGACAGTGGCATTTTGGGAAAACTCAGGAAGGATCAGATAGAAACTAGGACCAGTATTCTATCCTTTTTTAAAAAACTAGGGGGAGGGAGCTGAGGATGAGGTACTAGATTTCACCTGTAAAGTATAAGAGAGGATCAGAAGGAAGAGTAGCCCCTCCTTCTGGGGATCAAGATTGGGAATATGGGTGAGTAGAAATGCTTGGATCTGCCCATTCTCCCAGAAGCAGAAAGGGAGGCAGGACGGTGTAGGTGATCCAAACATAGTGCTACCTGTTCAGTGAACTGACTGTTGTTCCCCAGGACTGGACATACAGAGACATCTGGGATTTCCTTCGTCAGCTATTTGTTCCTTACTGCATCCTGTATGACTGGGGGTAAGCGCTAGCAGGAGTGGGGCAGGAGTCAGGAATGATAAGGGAGTGCTAAAATGGGGAGTCGGATATTTACAAGGACTGTGTCTTTCCTCCCGGCATCTCCAGCTACACTTCCCTTGGCAGTCGAGAGAATACAAAGAAGAATGTGGCCTTGAAGTACCCAGGCCCTGGGGGATGCCCTGCCTATCGACCAGCCTACCAGCTGGAGAAAGAAGATGAAGAACGAAGCTCACGAACCTGACTCTGTGAACTTGCTGTCAGACTGGGGGATTTTGTTCCTGCCTGTTGTATCCCCTGATCCCAGCGGCCCCACCGTCAGTGCTGACCAATAAATGGTGTATTCTACTGTGCCCATTGCTTCTGCTACTTCATCCTTTCTAGGAGTCAAAGCTGCCATGGATGTGACTGGGACCCCCTTAGCCCCACCCTCAAAGACCCAGGAGTTGGGGCAGAAACCTAGAAGTGGAGGGTCGGGCTGCCTCCTCTTTGCCTAGACATCCTTGACATTGAGCAGGGGCAGGGGAGTTAGGAGGATGAGGGCTGGGGGTGTGAAAAAAGAAGGGCTGGATAGCTCGAGCTGACTGATGCTTCTCGATGCCAACATCAGCAGGGCTCCATGTGAGGATGTATGACCTGGGGAGGAGGGAGGAGGGAGCTGGGCCAATGGGTAGCTTGGCAGAATTCCCAGGGCTCTTACACTGTGAGGGGAGGGACAAGGGGTCAGATACTCCCCTCCCAACTCCCACCCAGTCCAGGCTGACACAGCCTATTATTCCTCATTCCAGAATCTCCCCTTGCCTCATCCAGGGGCTTTGTCTCTGTTAGTCATGAGAGCACACGGTCCCCAGGGTAGGAGAATGTTTATAAAGCCCAAGCGAGCCAGCCACCTTTCTCGCACAGAGAGCTATTCCCATGCAACCAACGGCTGTACCCGTAGCCCAGGCCTTGCCCTTCTCCCTCAGTCAGGCTCTTCATGATGCAGGGTTCCGATTACCTGTCGCCAAGATGGGCACAAGCTGGGGGGTACTGCATCGATTCCTAAAGGAGGCGGCTTATATCCTTCTCTGCTGTTGGTGTATTAAGGAGCTGCTAGACTAGCCCAGGTATTTAGGATGCTCCCTGCCCACCCCCATCCATGACACCATACTGGGCACTCTCAGGTGGGCACACTGGGGGCAAGACTTGAGCTTTCTTGGCAATGTTCCTTCTTCTGAGCCTCCCCTTTTGTCCTTCTAGTGCCTCCTTCATCTCCGAGACTCCTTGTGTCCTCTGTGCTTACCTGAGAGTACCAATAAATGAGTGAAGTTCAATGCCTACTGTGAGCTGTGTGGGCTTTCAGCCTCTTTCAACTCTAGGGCCATTTGATTCGATTTCTAGCCTCTCAGGACAATCAGAGCCAATTCCCTGCACAAGCAGGATCTGTGTGAGACGGTATAAGGGGAGGGCAAGGTAGGAGTTTATAAGAACAAGGAGGTAGGAAATACACTGTCTTGTGCCAGGTTGGGGGGTTTTTGGTTTTTATTTGTTTGTTTGTTTTTTTGGTGGGTTTTTTCTGTTGAGAAAGCATGACCCTTATGGGGGTGGGGGGCACCAATGGCATAGCATTGTGGGCCCCTCCCTGTCTAGCATTGCTAATGTACTCAAAAGTTTCTCTATCTCAGATATAGCACATACCACCCTTCCATGCAAAAATGCCAGGGATAGGACAGCTCTCCCTCAGAACCCTGGATTCCATTGTCCTCTCTGTCAAAATATAGAAAAAGGGATAGAACCCCAGTTGCAGTCCTTGGTGTGGCCTAGGAAAGGAGACCAGGATGGTGGAGAAGAGAAAAGCGGCTTCCACAATCCAATCTACCCCTTCTGTGCCCTTCACAAGGGCCTGGCCCCCATTTTGCCCTAACCTACCCTGTGACTCAGGCCCTGGCCTCCTGCCTCTACCAGGCCTTTTCCTGTCTCCCGCCCCATGACCAACCCCACTCCACCCAGCTGGAGTTGGGACATTGCCCAAAGGACAAGGGGGAGGGGGTAGAGTCTGAGTACAGGGGGCTGAGAAAGGAACCTATGCCAGAGGAATGGAGAAGGCAATGGGATGCTTGGCAAAGGGGACTCTGGGGAAGTGGTGGGTGGAGATGGGCAGAGCTGTGGTCTGTAAGAGAGAAGAAAGTCAGAAAAAGAAGCAGTGACAGAGGGAGAAAGACAAATTCAATGTGCAATTTGAGCTAGGGAAGCGGGATAGACACTTGGGAGGGTGAGACCTGGCAGCTGGAGGGAAATACGTTAAGAATTAGCAGCGTCTTTCTTTTCCCCCACTTCCATTCCCTTGTCTCATTGTACTCACACCAAATATATTCTCTTTTCTTTTTTCTTGATGAGCCTGATGTGGAGAACAATAAAACCTTCTACCTGCCTCCCCAGCTTAGTAGGGAAGTGAGTTGGTTTTCTCTTCACTACTCCGCTTTCTGCCACCTCCAGGTTCCCACGAGTACAGGTGGAAAGTGGAGAGAAAGGCAACCCTGCACCCCTTCTTTTACCCTCCAATATTCTGGCTGGTATAAGGCAGTGGGGGTCAAACTCAAATAGAAACACAGGCTGCTAATCCTTACCTAAAGATACCTATGGGCCCCATATTGACTTAGTTTACAATGTACTGTTATCTATGTTTTATTGTATTTTTATTTATTTTGTTAAATATTTCCCAATTTTAATCTGGTTCTGCCGCACTGGGGAGTGTTTTACATAAGCACTGTCCATCTACTCTCTACAAACGGGGCTTCCCTTTTTTGTTCATAAGGTTCCAGTCTGAGCCGTTCCAGGTAGGGTCCTCAGGGTAGAGAAAGGCTGTTCAGGTGGCAGAGTTGGGACAGATGAAGGCTAACGTTAGACAAGGTTTCAGCCCACCTAGGAAACACTATGAGAGATTCTTTAACATAACTTTTTCAGCAACACATAGAGAGTGCCAGAAAATTCTGCTCTCCGTGACCGCTAGCTATTTTATGAAGCCAGGTTTCGTTTATCACAATGAAGGCTCAAAGCCTTGAGTGAGCAATATTAATGCACTGCCCACCAACTGTAGTAGGGTAGTTATTTGGGTGTTTCTCCCACCCAGTGCCCTAGCGGGCAGTGCCAAATTTCATGCTCTGTATGACTGAAGGGGAAGGGGAAGGAGACATTGGGGTGCGCTTTGAGCAGGGGTCCTGGGGACTCGAAGGGGCTTCCCCGGGAGACAGAGGGGGCTTTCCGAGTCGGCGTTTGGAGCAGCGCGGACATCTAGTGGCTTCCAGGGGAACTGAAGCAACCCCGGAAATTGGAAGCTAGACGCGGAGAGAGAGGGGACCATGGGGCGAGAACCCAGACCCGAAAGGGATCCCTAGGAATCCCCTGGGAAGAGGAAAAATGGAGCGCAAGCCGGGGCTTCACAGTCACTCCACTAGGGGCCCCATGGTGGAGTCTTGGACCCCTGGATTGGGAGGAGGAAAGGTATTATTTTACCGCGTGAATAAATTGGATATCACAGTTTAAAAAAAGAACGGAAAAACAAAAACCAGACCCTTGATATCCAGCATCTTCCTGATTGCGAGGTCGGGAAGGGGTCACTGGTGGCTATAGAGCAGTTGGACTCAGCACCAGCTTTTTTTTGAGGGGGGGAGGTATATATTTGCATCTTAGCTGCATCTGAGTCATTTCCTTTTTGTATGAAAAAATTCCCCCTCTCTTCCCTCACAGGGTCCTTCTTCTCTGTGGTTGTCCCCCACCCCTGGTCCCACTGCCCTTCTCGAATTCTCCCAGATTCCTTCCCTCTTCCCTCCCTGACCAACCCCTCAAACCCTGTCTTTTGCCCCAAGGCTCTCGCCCTCAACGCACAGTTCCTATCTACAACTCTATGAATACAGGTCGCCAGCGGTAAACTACCCCAATGCAACTGATTTCTCCTCCCTCCCGACCAGCGCCCCCTGCAGACCAGCGGAGGGGGGAAGGAGTGAGGGGTGGGGCGGGATTTATTTTCACCACCCGCCTCCCCCACCCCCCTATAGTTTTGGAAACTTGCTCCCCAGAGCTTCCTGGGGCTAAATTTAAATTTACCTGCCTAGGCCCTGGGGGGCGCAAAGATCCCAGCGGAGATTAGAGCGCTGGAGTAGACTGCTGCGCACCCAAGGCTCGGAATAGGCACCGGAGTTATAAATAGAGCCGCCCGCAGATGCTAGTGGGGGGGAGACTGGGGAAAGGGGAGGGTGCCCCCCTTGGCAGCCGCGGCCCCTTCAGGTGGGTTGGGCGGTCGCAGTGGGAGCGCTGGGGTGGCGGCGGCTGGGGGGGCTGCGGTCTGGGCGCCCCCAGCGGTTTCCTGGGCGGCTGGTACTTCGAGGGAAGCGGTGGAAGCAGTGGGGGGCCACAAGTTAAGAGGTGGGCGCAGCAGGTATACTCACTTGGGGTCCCAGCTTCCCTGCTAGGGGACGGCTGGTCCCCCAATCCCAAAACGCAGGACCTCCTGCCTGTAGACCTGGAGAACTCCTTTTCTCCACACCCCAAAACATATTTCCCTAGTTCTCAGAGCGTTTTTACATCCAACCATATGTGCCTTCCGGGCTGCCCCTTCTCCTGATCTTTACTTCTATCCCAGAGGATGGGATACCAACTCCCACTGCCAACTCCATTCTCAAGGCAAATATCCTTATTTTTCGGTTTACTTACCCCATGCCTCACTCTGCCCTCTCCTCCAGGAGGTTACCTGTCTGGATGGATATTTTACATCTTGTTGGTCTAGAAAGCGGGATGGGAGAGGGGAGAATCAAGCTCAGGCCTGGGGAGTCTGGAGCTGCCTTCTCCCCAGCTTCCCTCAGGAGGCACCTGCAGGCCTCTCAGCACCCATCGCCCAATCTCAGCCCAGCCCAGGACAGACTGGCAGGCCAAGGTGGCAAGAGGCGTTAGGGGGCCGGGTTTTGAGAGAGGGGGGTTGGGGGACTACAAGAAGTGTACGTTTTTCTGCTTCAGATGTTCTCTACGGTTTGGTTTAGGCAAGAAGTTGGGGCGATTTAGTCTGGAGCCCCTGCCCCACCTTCCACCATCGGAGCCGGGATCCCAGGGGAGCCGTAGGATGGAGACTGTAGAGACTGAAAGGAGAAAACCTGAAAGGTCGAAGGAGGTTGGATGGACTGGGGGTGGGGAGGGGCTGCGGAGAATAGAAAGATGAAGATAGGGACTAAGCGAAAGGAGAAAACAGGAATGATTCAGATTCCTAGGGAAATGAAGAATCAAAATTCCTCTCTTTTGCTAAGCGTCCAAGATGCTACCACCCCCATACCCCAGCGGGGGTTGGGGGCGGGAATAGGTAGCTGGTGATGGAGACTGGACTCTCACAGCCTGGCGCCGGGCTTCCTACACCAACCTAGGAGGTCACGGCAACCTTTCCAGTACTTTAGTAGTGTGTCCTTGGGCAAGTCAAGTAACGTGAGACTATTTCCTCATCTGTAAAATGGGGATACTAATATACGTAATGCCTACCTCACAGGGTTGTTGTGAGGCTCAAATGAAATAATGTTTGTAAGACGCTTTGCAAATTTCAAAGTGCTATATAAATATCAGCTATTATTACTTCTATCGTTATTTCTTGTGCCTATTTGTCCTTGGCCCTCCCTCTGTTTCCTCCTCTCCCTTATGCGTGCCCTCTCTCTACTGACTGTTTAACTCTGCCCCTGGCATAGCCCCTTCTTGATTTCGAATGTGCCCCTGGCACTGCCCCCTCTCGCCTGGCACCGGCCCTTCCCCAGGCCAGCCTGTCCCAGGAGGTAAGGAAGAAAGGAATAAACCCCGGCCTGGACCCAACTCCTTCCAAGCCCTTACAAACCGGACTCTGTCCACCGAGGCCAGGAAGAAAACCCGGAGAAACTCTCTGACCATCTACAGAGGGACCCGGGGTGGGGGTGGGGGGCACGGGAGACGGAGAACGGATGGGAACGGACGGAAAACCCGGAGCGGATCTCCCGAATCAGTGTTCCCCCTTCACACCCCCCCTTAAATGCCCCAGAACCTCACCCCCCCCAATTCTCCAGTGAGATAATGTCTGGGGGTGGGGGGCTGTTTGCCTTGGCCTGGGCCCTCTGGGGCGCCTCACACTTTCCGCCCCTGGCTGGGGCGCAGGGCAGCGGCCCCGAGGCTGAGTCACGGCCCGGCTAGGGAGGGAGTGTGGATGAGGGAGGGGCCCGGACCCGAGCTCCTCCCCTCCCCCTAGCCAGGGGATCCCGGGTCAGCCCGGGTGAGGGACTGGGCCCCCGCGACACCGCCCATTGTGGTCCAACAGGTTCAGCTAGTGTCCCGCGAAGCCACCTGCTGGGGGGGGGGAGCCCCCGGGCCGAGGAAAGGAAGGGAAGAGAAGGAAGAGAGAGTGAATCTGACCCGGTTCGGCCTGGCCAGAATGGGAAGAGAACCTGGCCAGCTTGACTTGGGTGGGAGGGTTTCTTCAAGGAGCGGGAGGCGCCTGGCTCCTAACGGAGCGTCCCAGTCCGTTCCTGTACTTTCGGTTGGGGACAGGGTGAAGTACAAAGTGCCCTCCCTCAGGTGGCTGTCCTTCTACAAACTCACTCCCTCTACCCAGACCCCCCCCCCAAAAAAGCTTTAGTCTCTGGGTCGTGTTCCGGCCAGGATATCTCTCCACAAAAGCCTCAGTTTCCCCAATTACCGAAAGGTGAAAGGAATTCAAGGCTCTCGAGCTAGGAAAGGAGGGGCGGGGAGAAGAAACAACGTGCCATCCCCATTCCCCCGCCCCCTTCCATGCACCCAGCCCCTCCCCGTTGGCAGTGCCAAGGCCGCAGCCGGGCAAAGGGCTGGAACTCAGAGGCCGAGTCCTGCCTTCGGGCTTAGCCTAGGCGTAGGTCCCCACCCCGTGGGGTACCGTCACGCGTGTGGGAGGGACACGTAATGAAGTCTCCAAGTCCAGACCCCTTCCCTCCAGTCTAAGGGGAATGGTGGGGGGGAGAAGTGAGGGACATGGATCTCGGGCCTTGGCCATTGGTGACTCCACCCTCCCCTTCCCTCCCTCCTTCTGCTGGGCTTCTGCTGTGACCTGATTATTTCCCCTGCTCTGGTTTACCACCCTTCTCTCGCCCTACACTGAATCCCTGATTCCACCCCCAATCAATTCCCACCCCCCCTTCCATTAACTCCTTCACCAGCCACTTCCCTCCCTTTTGCTGTCCCACCCTTTGGGGAGCCCTTTGGGACTGGATGGAGAACTAGGGGGAATGGGGGAGGGGCTGGTGCCCAGGCCGCCGCAGACAAGGTCCCAACCCCCCCTTCTCCCTGTACCATTCCAGTCCATAAGCCCCGCCCCTCTCCCCAAGGGCCAAGTGTGGGGCGGGACTGAAATTTCGATTGATGGGTATTTCAACCAATAGAGGAGCTGGGCGGTGGAGCTAAGAGGGCGGGGGCGGGGCACCCCCTCGGGTTGGATGGGGGTAGAGGGTGGGGTCTGGGTTAAGGTGGACTGGGGAAGATAGCTGCAGGAGGAGGGAGAGGGGAAGAGCTACCGCTGCAGGTGAAGGGGAAAAAGAGGGAGAGAAGGAAAGAAGAGAAAAGAGGAGAGAGGGACAGAAGAAGGCAAAAGAGGAGGGGAAGGGAGACAAGGAAGGGGAAAAAGAGGGAAGGATAGACGGTGCAGTGTCCTAAAGGGACAGACTGGACTAAGAGGTTGAAGTTTATGTCCTTATTGGGCGGAGGGGGGGCCTGAGGGGGGGGTGGAAAACCAGGAAGTGACAGAGGGTGTTGCTAGGGCTGGGGAGGGGAGTGGGGGGGTTGCAAGAGGGGGCGGGGGGAGGGAGGGAGGGATGGGGGGAAAGGAGGCTGGAGGACAGGTGAGACAGCAGGACAGGTGAGGCGGGCCCGGGGGGGTGGGGGCGGGGGGGTGGGGTGGGTGGGAGCCAGGTGGATGAGCGGCTCCCAGCAGCCAAGGGGGGGCGGGAGGCAGGAGGAGGCAGAGGGAGGCGGAGGAGGAGCCCCCCAGGAGCAAACAGCCAGCGGACTGCCCGCGGCCTTCTGACCAATATTGGAGCAGAGCCCCGAGGCTCCGGCCCCCTACGTCCCCCCGAGCCCACAGGGCCTGGAGGGGGACAACCAGTTCCCTACACCCCGCATCTCACAAACCTCTGCGGACAGACCCGACGGCAGAGAGGTGAGTACACCCCTTTTCTTTCCTTCCCAGGCTCGGGGTTCCCCTTCTCAGTTCGAAACTACTGCAGTGTCCTTCGGTCGCCCTATAGAAGGGGGACCCCCACACGGCCATACAACAGAAATAGGGATTCCCACCCCTCCGGTTCTCTCCAGAGCCCTTCGTCTTTGGAACTGGTTTGGGCTGGGAGAAAGGTTGCGAAGGAATCGCGACTCCCCCACCAGCTCTTAGCAAAGGGTTCCCGGTAACTTTCTCAGCACTTCGTAGGGGCCCAGGTGACTTTTTTTCTGAGATGAGTTGGAGTAATTCAGCGCTGAGCGCTTCCCAGGTTTCTTCTTGGGGATGTTGGGGGACCCTCCACAGGGGCAGAGTTGACGGAATGGAAACGTTGACTCTAACTAGGACATCGCGCCCCCCCCACCTTCTGCTCCGGCGCGGTGAACTGGACCCCCGCCAGAAGTCCTGGGAGGGAGGGGGTGCACAGGAGGAGCTGGGGCTGGGGGGAAAGTTACCGGCTGGACTATTCGGTTTCTAGGTCTTCTAGGACAGCTCTCTTTCTCGCTTCTTTCCCTTTCTCAGCTCGCTGTGACTCCAACCTCCCGCCTCCCCTCCTGCCCCGGTATCTCGTCCCTTCTTCTCTTCACTCTCCCTCCGCTCTTCTTGATAACGTCTCCCTCTTGGCTGCTCAGCCGTCCGCCACCTCACTACTGCGTCCGCTCCGGACCCCCAGAACCCGCGATAGAGGGTGGGGTGATTGAAGGGACTTTTCCCACTCAGCTCCCCCCCCAATTCCCTGGCGCTGGAACACCTGCCCCCACCCATAGGTGTGTGCGCGCGCGTATGGAGGGGGTCGCCACAGTGTCTGCTAAGTGGGATCGTCCCCATGCAAGGGTAGATTTTGAAGGGGGGTTTGGGGGGGGTGTTTCCTGGAGTCTCCGGCTCTTTTTCTCCTCCCACCCCCTACCCCACCCCGAGTCAGAGAGCGACGTGTCCCGGCCAGAGCGAGGGGGGGACTCTGGAGTCAGGGGGGGCGGCGTGGGCAGCGGGTTGTGCCCGGACACGTGCCAGCTCCGGCGCCCCTGCCCGGCTGGTGTTTGGAAAGAGGGCGGGGTCCCTTGCTCCCCCAACCCCCCCCCCACGTATCAAAGGGCGGCTGAGACGTGGTGAGACCTCGGGGCGCCCTGGGGGGCGGGGAGCTTAGGTCCAGAGTAGGGGAGGGGCAGAGGCGCTGGGGCTAGCTGACCCACAGGAAACGAGCGCTGCTGACCTAGTTTGGGACACCGGAAGTGGGTGCTCCGAGGAGAGGGGGAGACAGGGAGGCAGGCAGGCGGTCCTGGCTTCCGGGCCAGGTGGAGGGCTTTCCGGAATTAGCCCTGTCCCCTTATGCCTCGGACCCCTCTGCTCTGCTGCTGGGAATGGGAATGAGTCAGCGCCGCCCCTCCCCCTACCTCCTCCCTAAGGGGAGTCATAGGAATGGGGGGGAGACCCTGTAGGGAAGGGAGGGGTTAAACTAGGACAGGAACTCTTTGTTGGGGGGAGGAGTGGAGGGGAGTAAAGCCTGAAGGATTATGGGGCTGGCTCCTTCCCCCCCAACTGGTTTGGTCACCCCTATACCTGCCTGGCACTGCCAGAGGGGGAATAGGCATGGAGGTGTAATGAGGGAAGGTGGGCACGAGTGTCAAGGTATTCCAGACCGTAGTATATTATTGAAAACATAGGGTTAGGGGCTTATTTGTGACTGAGCTTAGGTGGTGGCCTTTCTCTTGGTGGTAACTGAAGAGAGTGGAATGGGGGAAGCTCCCCCTGGAGCAGCTGATGAAACCTCGGAGAAATCTCTGCTACCGCCTCCTATTCTGGCCCCGGGGACCCCAGACTCCCCCAGCGCCACCTGTGTGTTAGATGGTTACCGTGGGCACCATGCAGCCGTTGGGCACCCCTGAGCACTGCCCCCCTCCCTTGGGCACCCCTGGGCACCGCCCTTCCCCTCTTGCTCAGAGGTTTCAGGAAGGGGTTAATGCCATATGAATGGGGGCTCTGGTAAAGGAAGAAGGCAGTGCCCACTAGATTTATATGCCAAGGAAAGAGGCCACACTGAAATCAAGCAAGTCACATCTAGGCCCTGCTGAACTGGACCCCAGTATCCAGAAGATAGGAGTTGCCCCCTCCCCCTTGCCATGGTGCCCCCTGGTACTCAAGGGCCCCCAGCTTCTCCTTGGCATGGTGCCTGCCCTGGGAGGGCGCGGCGGGCAGCGGGGGCTGGGCTAACAATGCACCATCGGGCCCTTTGTGTGCTTATACTTGGCACCCTGGGGAAGGGTGGGGGAGGGGTGCCCCCCTGGTAGGCATGGGGGGCGGGGCACCTCTGAGGTGGGGACAGTGGAGATTTGGGGAGAGCTGAAAAGAGAATAAAAGCAAGTGGGAATGAAAGGGAAGTAGGTCAGATAAGGGGGCTAGCACCCACCCCAATTCCAAACCAGGTCCATGCACCACCAGTACCTCCTGGCTTCCAGATGGTATTAGACTTGCAAACAGGGAGCAGTATGTGGTTGGGAGTTGGAGGTCAGAGGTCACTGTCACAGAGAACTGCCCAGATAGAGGGAGGAGGGCCTAGTGTTCCCCCTCCCCTCTGGTGGGCATAAGGCCCAGTTCCCCTGGCCCTCTGCCCCTGAGAGGACTAAGGAGTAGGGAGCAAGAGTCAGAGGCCCCACCCAGGTGGGTAAGTAGGTGGGCATTTTGCCAGGTTACTGGCCTCAGGACTAAGGCCTCTACTTCTGCTGGGCCCAGCCTCCCAACATGCTTCCGGGACAGTGCCCACCTGGCATACTGCCTTTCCTTAGATTCAAGACTACATAAGCTCTACTAGGCTGTAATAATGAAAGAGTGAGGGGACCTGTGCCCGACTTGTGCTGAGGCTGGGCAGAGAGGCAAGGAAGGAAGGTGGGGATGGGCAGATGGATAAGACCCTAGCATGGGTGTGTCTGCCCTGGCCTCTGCCCCCTCCTGCTGAGTAAACTTGTGAGTAAACTTGACGTTTTGCCCGGACAGTTTGAAACTGCCTTACCACCCCACCTCCCCCCCCTTAACCCCCCCATCCCCACCCTACCCCACCTCCTCTGAACAACACAAATGAAACCAGGAACCAAGACAGGCCTGGAATGAGATGGGAGAAACATTTGCCACCTACCCTCAGACGCGTTGGAGGGACCAGAAAGGTTCCTCTCCCCCTATCCCCCTCTATGCCAGGCAAGTTGTCTCAGTGGGAATCTTAGCTGTGTGTGGGAAACTTCTAAATGTCAGAGGAGGGATGATCTCAAAACATTCATGTTACTTTGACAGAGACCTTACAGCCAGTCCATCACCCCAGTCTCGGACCTCCAGACATGTCTGCCTTTTATGTGGGGAGACCCTTTGACGTTAAGTGGACTTCATTGGATGTTTCCCCTGGTTGTCCTGGAGAAAGCCCCTCATCACTCCCTTCCCCACTCCATGAACCAACCCTCTCTCTGTAAAATAGGTCAAAGGGGCAAAGAAGAGGTAGGCCAAGTTTGCATCCTTCTGTTGGTATGGCCTCTGGCATTGGGGCAGAGAGAATATATCCACAGCGTGCCAGCATCCTTCTCTTACTGAGGGAAGAGTTGTTCTCTCCCTCTTGACATCAAGGGCTAACTCAACAAAGCCATGGGGCCATGATTGACCATACAAGCTAGCCAAAATCCCCAGTGCCACCTCTTGCCTCCCCATACTAGCATCTTCAGAACTGAGTTAGGCTTCTGAACCCCACAGTTAACCAAGTTCAGAGGCCAGATCCAGAAGCAGGGTAGGATGGCAAAGAGAGATCAGCCAGGCCAGTCCACATACTATGCATAAGTGACCTGGCTGCTGAAGTGGACAGTGCCAATGTGAGGCACCCCCAAGTCCCTGCAAGGCTTCTGAGTGGGGGCTCCCCTAGGCCTTTGTTCTAGGGGCCTCATGTCTTCGGCTTTAGTTTCCTTCCTGTTTCCCCTCCTACACCCCCACCCCACCCATATGCCCCTTTCAACAGACATCCTCTCCTCCTTCCTTCCTCCTAGCCTCCCCTCTGCTTGGGCCTGGGGGTAGGGGGCAGCTTCGTTCCCACCCTATGGACTCATTCTCCATCCTTCTTTTCACAAACCTAGGCTCCTTGGGAATCCTTACCCATCTTCCACTCCTCCTAAATTCCATACAGCACCCTGCCTGCTACCTCAAAGAGGGGGGAGCACCTATATTGGCAAGAGTAGCTCATATGAACTACAACTCCCATGGTGCATTAGGGTGCTTCATGTAGCATACTGGGAGCTGTAGTCAGCCTGGAGTTGGAGAAATAAGCTGAAAATGTTGGGAGTAGGGTAAAGACTAAGATAGAGTTAGGTAGGGTGGATCTTCTCTCTATTTGTCCCCCTACCCCTGCCACCTCACACTCCTTCGGCCTTCTCTGTGACTTCATGATACCCACAATTGGCATAAACCTGATGCCAATGTCATTTATGCCCTCTGGGAAGAGAGATTCCACCCACCCTTCTCTTGTGGCCCCACCCCAGAGGTGCCCACGCCCTGCCCAGCTGCCCCCAGGGGAAATGAAATTGGGGGGCACCTTGTGAACCCCCTCACCTGCCCCAGGCTCTGCTCATTCTCTTTATGGGGATCAAAGGGCAGAGTGCTGCCCCACCCACCCCCTCCCAGGCATAGGGGCTCCAGGGAACCCAATGAGAATTGCAGGGACTTTGGTGTCCAAGCAGATGCCGAGGTGGGGGGGGGGTGCCTGTAGCCTGGCATCTGGTGCCTGGGAACACACACCCCTCCCCCACCCCGGGGGAGTGGGGCTGACACGGTTCTGCTATAGATAACCGCCCATCACTGGCTGCAGGTTCTCCATGATTGTGTTTATGGAGAACTAGAAATAAGTGCTACCTCCAGAGGGAGGGCTTCGAGGGACTAGGAGCCTCTGGGCTTGTCTGTCTGTGGGACCTGGGGGTCCAAGGCTG